TCCCCCCTCCCATCCTGTCTCACCCCTCTAGGCTGTCACAGAACACAGGTGTGAACTCTCTAAGTCATAAAGCAAATTCCCACTGGCAATCTATTTTACATATGGTAGTGTATGTTTGTATTATAAACTTTTAAGTTAAATATTCTGCTGCCCCAGCGTTCCCGCAGACTGTCTGCAGGCACCCCGCCCGGGGGACCAGGTACACAAGAGTGATGCAGCTGTGGCGCCAGTCCAAGCTCCCTGTATCTTCCCCTGTGACCTAGTGACATTCCAGTCCACCAATGAAACCCCTCATGACTGCTGCCTGTGTACACTGCCCTGATCCCCAGGAATGGCACTCATCCAGGAGGCCCCCACTCTTCTGGTTTGTTAGCAATGTCCCCACCCACCCCCGGGTGCTGGTCCCCATAGACTGTAGCCGGTCAGGCTCCTCTGTCCATGGGATGCTCCAGGCAAGAATACTGGAGTGGGTTGCCATTTTCCCTTTCAGTGGATCTTACCGACCCACGGATGGAAACTTCCTCTCTGTGTCTCCTGCATCGGCAGGCGGATTCTTTACCAGCTGAGTCATCGGGCCCCCTTTCGAGCCAGGGATACTGAGGGAATAATAGGAACGCAGTGGCAGGGGTTGTTTATAAGCAGACCCGACTTCCGCACCGACGCAGGAGCCCCCTAGAGTCACCTGAAGGAACTCGCTTTTTATCAAAGAACTTCACACCCCCGCCCCTCCTGCCTGCTCCGGGGGGCCGGCCGCTTTCTGCTGTTCCCTCGGGGAGCCGGGCTCCAGTGAGGAGTCCGTTTGGCACCCGTTTGCTCGGCTCTCGTCGGACACCAGCCACCGCGCCAAAGGCCGAAGTCCTCAGAAAGGGCGGTCCCTCAGGAAGGGACCGTTCTCACTGGGACAACAGCGCGCGCTTCCCTCCCCAGCGAAGGAGTGGCCTCCAAGCTGTGGGCCCCGCTAGCCCAACCTTCCTGAGCACGGTCTGGAGAGCACGCGGTGGAAGTCAGCCGGGGAATGGCAGCAAGAGACACTGTCCTGGTCCGGCCGGCGCTGCCGAAGCGGGAGGACGCCACACGGAGTCAGGTCCCTGCCTTTCCGCCCAAGGCTGGGCTGCTCGCAGTGCGGTTGGCAAGACCCAGGTGCTGCTGCCTCTGTTTATAACAGCGTTTCATGAATGAGCCCCTACGTCACGGAAACCTTTGCGGCGATAGAGGGGTGGCGGGCGGATCCTGAAAATTCCTGCGGCCTCCTTGCCGCTTCCCTATCATGAGAACGTTTAAACAACGGAGTTGTTAGGGTACCGTGAACCCCTGAAGTTGACCGCCCTCAAGGCATCACGGTAGCTCAGCTGGTAAAGAATCCACCTGCAGTGCAGGAGACGCCTGCTCGATTCCTGGGTCGGGAAGATCCGCTGGAGAAGGGACAGTCCACCCACTCCAGGATTCGTGGGCTTCCCTGGTGGCTCAGCTGGTGAAGAATCTGCCTGTAATGCGGAAACGGATTCGATCCCTGGGTTGGCAAGATCCCCTGGAGAAAGGAAACGCTACCCACTCCAGGATTCTGGCCTGGAGCATGCAGTGGACAGTGGAGTCTGGCAGGTTACAGTCCTTGGGGTTGCAGGGTCGTACAGGACTGACCGACTTTCACTTTCACTTTTCAAGACGTCAAGGAACGTCGTGAAACCTCCTGGTGTAGATTTCCAAATCTGGACATCCTGTTTAAGTTGGGACAGATGGAAGTGCTCCGGTGACTGCCCTCCGCGGAGGGTGCAGCACCGGGCAGACTGGGCAGCGCAGAGCGCCAGGGACTCTCACACATATTCAAGACTCACCCCTGCGCCCCCGGCTGGGGTGGGGCTGGGGTGGGCGGGATTCGGTGGGGGCGCCTTTTTCCCAGTGTAGGGAGAGAGGCAGAACAACTCGGGGTCTTAGGTACAGAGGAAACAGGTACGTGACTCCAACGGCTTAAGCCTTGGTCTCAGAAGGAATGCATCCCCACCCCCATTTCTTATTTTAGTCCTAATTATGTGCGAATGGTGGAAGCAGACCCTCACACCGCGTTCCACCCCCACCCCTCCACCCCGCTCCCGGCACATGCAATACTAGAATACTAGGATTGTCAATAAATTACAGCAATAACTAGGAAGGTGAGGTCAGGGGAGGGGTTCCTGCTAGAAAACTAAACTGAGATGACAAGCTGGGTGGGGTCCCAGGAGGCCTCAATTCCTACAGCACACACCCACCCCCTGATCTGGAATGTCAGACTGCGGTCTGGTCAGGACCCCCTCCACCATCTGCTCCAGATGACCGATTCACACGTTCAGTGACGCCCAACCTGCCTCTGCAGGAAGAGTGAGCCTTGCAAGGGCCACGCCAGGGCTGGGATCCCTGGTCTGTTCTAAGGTCTGGCGCCTCAGCTTTTCTTCCTCAGGCCAATGGGACAGGATAGATGTAGCTGCCTAAAAAGGGCAGAGGAAACTTTTGGTTTCACGTTCTTAAGCATGTATCAGAACACAAATCACTCACTTTAAATATACACAATTTATTAGAAGACTATTGTATTACTTCAATAGTTATTTTAAACAGTAAATGTAAGAAATCCTCAAGAATTGTCACTTCCAACTTAAAATTCTACAAAATGGGCCATCTTCATTTGACTGAATGGATACACTTAAGAAAGTGAGAGAGAATATGTTAAGAAGGTAGATAATGCTTAAAAGTATAAGCACTCTGGGAGTGTTAACTGTAAATAGCACCAAAACTTTGAGAAAATATTCCTGAAAGGTTGTTGCTGACCCATGAAAAGACGCCAGGACTCTTGGGCTCCGGAAGAGAAGAATTCAATCCGGGGCCAGAGACAAGGCTTGATTGCTCAGAGCTTTTGTGCAATTAAAGTATAAAAGGGATAGAGAAAGCTTCTGACATAGACATCAGAAGGGGGCAGAAAGAGTACCCCTTGCTAGTGTTAGCAATGGAGTTATATACCTTTTAATTAGTTATTACAATGAATCAAAAGAACGTCTCAAGTTTGTGAAAATTTTACCAGACCTATTCCCACAATTTACATTTTAGGATAACAAGATTAGAATTTAATAACAGAAAGATCCTCCAGACCCACTCATATAATATACATTCTAAGATAACAGGATTAGTCAGAAGGTTTTCAGGAAGGAGAAACTGTCCTCCAGCCCTGGTACATTGTTGTTGTATAATCCCTAGTACAGAGTTTAAACAGTTGTGTAATTGACTAAGACAATCACTGCAGATGGTGACTGCAGCCATGCAATTAGAAGACGCTTACTCCTTGGAAGCAAAGTTATGACCAACATAGATAGCATATTAAAAAGCAGAGACATTACTTTGTCAACAAAGGTCTGTCTAGTCAAGGCTATGGCTTTTCCAGTGGTCATGTATGGATGTGAGAGTCAGACTGTGAAGAAAGCTGAGTGCTGAAGAATGGATGCTTTTGAACTGTAGTGTTGGAAAAGACTCTTGAGAGTCCCTTGGACTGCAAGGAGATCCAACCAGTCCATCCTAAAGGAGATCAGTCCTGGGTGTTCATTGGAAGGACTGATGCTGAAGCTGAAACTCCAATACTTTGGCCACCTCATGCGAAGAGTTGACTCATTGGAAAAGACCCTGATGCTGGGAGGGATTGGGGGCAGGAGGAGAAGGGGACGACAGGGTGAGATGGCTGGATGGCATCACCGACTTGATGGACATGAGTTTGAGTAAACTCCGGGAGTTGATGATGGACAGGAAGGCCTGGCGTGCTGCGATTCATGGGGTCACAAAGAGTCGGACACGACTGAGCGAATGAACTGAACTGAACTGAAGGAACGCAGAGGAAAAAAACGTTGGTCCTTTTCTCCTCCTTGAGAATTCCAGACTGCCAATCTCCACTTCGAGAGGCCCAGACCCCTTTCTCCTCCTTGGGGACCCTGAACTTCTTATCAATCTGCCTAGGAATTGACTCTCTCATTCGCATAGCATCAAAAACAGTATTTCCTTTTAGTAAAGATGACACATCACTGCAGAAGAGTAAGTGAAGTTCCAACACATCTTTGCTCGACAACTGTATTTTATTTATTAATAAAAAGGAAAACATCAGTCAACATCCATTTCAAAAGAAGCAACTGGTATTAACAGTCATTAAAGAAGATATACAAGTGGCAAATAAACAGGAAAAAAGTGCTTGACATCATGAAACATCAGAGAACTACAGTTAAAAAATTACAGTGAGATGCCATTACACCCCTACCAAGACAGCTGAAATTAAACAGACTGACAATACCAAGGATCAGCAGGATGCGGAAGAACAGGAGCTCTCATATACTGTTGATGGGAACACAGAAGGACCCAACCAGTTTAGATCACAATTTGGCAGTTTGCAATTCACATATTCTGAAGCACTGGCACAAGAGAACTAAAACACATATTCATAAAAGAGCCGTATGCCAATGTTCATTGGAACTTCAGTTCTAACAACACCAAACTGGAGACAACCCAACTGCCCATTAGCAGACAGATGGATAAACGTAAATCCTAGACAATGGAAACTGTTATTGTTGAAGGTAGTGGCCTCCTATAGGCTTGGGAAGGACAATGAGAGATTGTAAAAGGGCATGAGGTAAATCAAGGTTATGTTCATCATCGTGATTCTGATGATTTTATGACTTTATATTATAGCAAAAATTTTCAAACTATACACCTTAAATATGCATACTGTATGTCAATTATGCCTCAATAAAATTTCTTTAAAAAATGGTTCAAAATTAAAAATAAAAAAACAAAAAAACCAAAAATCCAGACTTCCTACTCTTTCTGGAAACCAGAAAGATTAACAACTCAATACTGCTGCTGCTGTCACTTTAGTCATGTCTGACTCTGTGTGACCCCATAGATGGCAATCCACCAGACTCTGCCATCTCTGGTGCTCTCCAGGCAAGAACACTGGAGTGGGCTGCCATTTCCTTCTCCAATGCATGAAAGTGAAGTCGCTCAGTCATGTCCGACTCTTCATGACCCCATGGACTGCAGCCTACCAGGCTCCTCCGTCCATGGGACTTTCCAGGCAAGAACACTGGAGTGGGTTGCCATTGCCTTCTCCAAACTCAACAATGATTCCACCCTATTTTTCCCCATTCCTGGAGAAGGGTAGCCCTGAACCAGTGCAGGAAATACTGGCAAGTTACAGAGGCTGTTCCAGTCTAGGACAACAGGACCACTGGATGGACCACAAATGCCACATCCCTACACAACAGGATCTCCATTCTCTGTTCTCATTTCCCTGTCTGTACAGCAATGACCTGGAGGTGGCCAGCCCAGAAAGACAACGGGGATTCACAAAGCCTTTAGATTACTTTGCCAACAATAAATTCAGCTACAGGAGATACACAGCTCTGGAAGTGCTGTGACTATGCACATAGTCACTGGAAGACTTATGGAGGCACGTTCCATTTAATTTGATGCAGGCTCCTCCACTGACTCTTAATCACACCCAGAATTTCAGGGGGTTCCCTGGTGGCTCAGTGGTAAAGAATCTGACAATGCAGGAGACCTAATTGACTCAGGTTCAATTCCTGGGTTGGGAGGACCCCCGGGAGGGGAAAATGGGAACTCAGTATCCTTGCCAGGGAAATCCCAGGGGCAGAGGAGCCTGGCAGGCTACAATCCATGCGGTCGAAAAAGAGTGGGGCGTGATTTAGTGACTCAGCAGCAGAATTTCAGTATCAGTTAAGGTTGAAACCTGTATCCTGATGCCTGAGGAGGGATACTGGTCCACAGAATTATGAACTTCAGGACATTTGGCTCCTTCGTAGAACCTGGTGGAAAGCTTCCCCTCAACAGTGCTGAGCATTAAAGGGATACCCTCTGGGAATATGAGAACAAATTCATGGCATTTCCAAAGGCCCTGGAGCTTACTGGAACAAGTGACCCTTCCTCAGGGTAACCTACATGTGCTGTGTTGCCCAGTCACTCAGTTGTGTCTGACTCTGTGACACCATAGGCTATAGCCTGCCAGGCTCTTCTGTCCACAGGATTTCCCAGGCAAGAATACTGGAGTGGGTTGCAATTTCCTACTTCAGGGCATCTTCCGAATCCAGGGATTGAACCTGCATCTCTTGAGTCTCCTGCATTGGCAGGCAGGTTCTTTACCACTGTGCCACCTAGGAAGCCCCAGGGGGAACCTATTGGTCATACAGTATGTAAGCTTCCAGGTCACACATTAGGTCATATATTCCAGGTCACACATTTAGGAACTAAACAAAACACTGCTTTAGTTCCTAAGAGACCTTGAGGAGGAATTCAAATTAGGTCAAAACTGGATGAAAATTATACCCTCCTATCATTATATTGTCCCTGTTGAGGCACATAAACCTGAGGACCCATGAAAGCTGTCCATCCTGTCAAACAAGCAGGCCAATTGTTTTCCACCCATCCCCACAGTGAATACAACCCCAAGATTAAAGGTAGATTAAACAGTAAGACCTTTATTGCTGCACAAACCAGAGCAATAGGGGGCAATTCCCAGCTGGTGACTTGAGAGGTAGGAAAACCAACCACAAGTATCAAGTGAAACCAATGAATTTGAAGGTCAGATTCATACTTAATCAATTAAAATAGGAAAATGCACGGGCACATACTACTCAAGATTTCCTCCAGGGAACATTAGGGCACACAGACATTGGCCTTGTGTCAGCACATCAGGGTGACCGATGAAATACTGTGCAAGGAAGAGGTGAGATGGGTTCTACCAGAGAAACTGGCAGTGATGTAACTCTGATGAGGGCCCTGGAGAGTTTAGAACATGGAATGTAGCTCTGTAAGCCTCACAAGACACCTGGAACTCATTGGGAATTTCAAGTCATTAGATGTTTGCAAGTATGAGGTTCAATTTCAGGCAGATGACTCCCTTAACAAAAGCTGTCTAGTGCTGTTATAATGAACAAGGAGAGAGTACATTCCTTCAGGTCTAAGGTCTTTTTCAAAGTGTGGATTTCTTGGTGCTAAACAATGTTAGCTGTTTGGAATAAAGGATTTCCCATATTTCCTGCATTCATGGGGCTGCTCCACAGTGTGAAATTTTCGGTGGAGATTGAGGCTGGAACGTTGGCTAAAGGATTTGCCACATTTACTGCATTCATAAGGCCTTTCTCCAGTGTGAACTACCTGGTGTTGAATGAGAACAGACTTTTGCCTAAAGGATTTCCCACACTGCCCACATTCATAAGGCCTGGCTCCAGTGTGAATACTGCAGTGCTGAATAAGGCTGGTGCTTCGACTAAAGGATTTCCCACATTCGCCACATTTATAAGGCCTTTCTCCAGTGTGAATTCTCTGGTGTTTAGTGAAGATGGCTCTTCTGCTAAAGGACTTCCCACACTGGCCACACTCAAAAGGCCTTGCTCTACTGTGAGTTCGCTGGTGTTCAACGAGGCTGTAACTCTGTCTGAAAGATTTTCCACATTCAGCACACTCATAAGGCCTTTCTCCAGTGTGACTTCTGTTGTGTCGCTCAAGTTTAGATTTGGATCCAAAAGCTTTCCCACATTCCCCACACTCATAAGGCCTTTCAGTAGTGTGAACTCGTTGGTGTCGAATAAGAGTGGCTCTTTGGCTAAAGGATTTCCCACACTGGACACAAACATAAGGCCTTGCTGTGGTGTGAATTCTCCGATGTTGAACCAAGGTGAAGCTTTGTCTAAAGAATTTCCCACATTCGCTGCACTCATAAGGCTTTTCTCCAGTGTGGGTTCTCTGGTGCCGAACAAGATTGGATTTGCACCCAAAAGCTTTCCCACATTCCTCACATTCAAAAGGCCTCTCTCCACTGTGAATTCTGCAATGTTCAATAAGATTGGAGCACTGACTAAAGGACTTTCCACACTCACCACATTTATAAGGCCTTTCTCCAGTGTGAACTCTCTGGTGTATAATGAGAGTGGCTCGTTGCCTAAAAGATTTTCCACATTCACTGCACTCATAAGACCTTTCTCCAGTGTGGACTCTCTGGAGCTGAACAAGTGAGTACTTACAGTGCATGGCTTTCCCATATTTGCTAAACTCATAAACCCTTTTTCTAGCAGAGACTCTTGGGTGGTAAACAAGACTGTGTTTGTGGCTGGAAGCTTTCCCACATTCATGCAACTTGTAATGACTTTTTCTACCATTAAAAGTCTCCCCAAACTTGGTGATTTTGTTGGGTTTCTCACCACTGGAAGTGATCTGGTGCTGGAGGAGACCCAATGTACCTGGGAAGTCCATTCCAACCTTCCTACAGGTGAAGGGATTCCCTGACACCTGGACTATGCAGCTCTTTACAAATTCTGCCTTATCCACGTCACTTTTCTCTGTACTGAAATGCTTCTGAAGCTGCTGAAGGTTTGCAGATGCCCCAGTAAAGTATGGTTTCTGCCCTGGTAGATCAGCAGGGTACAAAATGTCTTTCAGGATTGGGACACATTTCTCACAGGGGTGAGCATTCTCGGTGAATGGACCTACCTTTGGAGTCCTGACCTGTGACAAAGCTTCTAGAGAAACGTTTTGCTCAGAAGGTATCTCTTTAGTCTCTGTTTCATGCAAACAAACTGAAAGAAAAGAAATATTTGTGAATCACGCTGATTATGGTAGGAGAGTATTCATCATGTTTTGTTTTTCTTTTAACTTTCTGTATAATATGACATTTCAATATCTTAAAAAACCTTCATGGCCGGAAAAACACTGGACTTGAATACTACAGATCAAATAGACCTAACAGACATATACAGAACATTTTATCAACCAGCAGCAAAATACACACTACTCAAGAATGCAGGAATAATTCCCCATATTAGATCATACAGCAGGCTATAAAACAAGTCTTAACCAATTTAAGAAAATTGAAATCACATCGAATCTCTTTTCTGATCAAAATATGATAAAAGTAGAAAATAATAACAGGAGGAGAACTGAAGACTCAAAAATATGTGGAAATTAAACACACTCTTGAACAGCCAAATAGTCAAAGATGAAATCAAAAGGGAAATCAAAAAATAATATTGAGATAAATGAAAATGTAAACAAAATACCAGAACTTATGGGACCCAGCAAAAGTAGTTCTAAAAGGGAAGGTTTCAGCAGATATATACACTAAAAAAAAATCTTTTTAAAAAAACCCTACCTTCACACTTCAAAGATTAAAAAAGAAGAACAAACTAAACTCAGTGTTAGCAGGAGGAGGGAAATGATAAAGATTAAATGTAAATAAATAAAATAGAGACTAGAAAGACAATAGAAAAGATGAAAACTAAGAGGTTTTTTTGAAAAGATAAAATTGACAAGCCTCTTGGAGTAATAAAAAAAAAGAGGACTCAAAATTATAAATGAAAGTGGAAACATTACATTTAATACCAATGCTCAAAAAAAAAAAAGAAAAGAAAAGAAAAGAAAAACACTGAAGAGGAGGGAACACATCAATACTCATTTTATAAAGCCAGTATCACCCTTACACCAAAGCCAAATAAGAACACTACAACACAAGAAAATCACAGGCTAGGGACTCTCTGGTGATCTGGTGGTTAAGAATTTGCCTTGCAATGCAGGGGATGTGGGGTTAATCCCTGGTCTTGGAACTAAGATCCCACATGCCGCTGGGCCACTAAGCCTGTGCATGACAACCACTGAGCCTGTGTGCCACAATTAGAGAGCCCATGTGCCACAACAACTGAAGAACAAATGCTCTAGAGCCTGTGCTCCATAACCAGAGAAGACACCACAAAGAAATGCCCATCCACTACAACTAGATAGTAGCTCCAACTTGCAGCAACTAGAGGTGCAACAAGAAAGAAAGCAAGAAAGAAATGAAAGGTGCCCCATGTTGGATTACTAGAACCCTAATGTTGTGATCCTATCCATCAGGACCCCATACATAACATCGCTAAAGATTATATATCATATATGCATTTTGTCAAATATTATATACATATTGTTAAAATTACTGAATCAGGACTTGGGACACCAGGTGTCATGACACCTGGGACATTCATCCTGCCAGGGTGAGGTAAACAAAGTAAGATGCCTTGTTTTAGGCTGACTGCCAAATTCCTACATCCCAGATCTTCACCTGCAAGCTTAGGCAACAGACTTAGAACTACTTGGGGCAGTGCACTCGGCTTAACACTGGCACCCACACCACATACACCAAGAAAGTGGGGAAGTAAGCAGAGACCATGGTCTGACTATGGAAAGAGCAGAGCTGCCTCTGGGGGACAGAAAGTATGACACAGATCAGTACATTGGGGTGAGGGCCTTACCCATCGAGGCTGTAAGTGCAAAGTTCTCTAGCATCACTTTATGATACAGGTGTCTCTGAGCTTCATCAAGGAGCCCCCACTCCTCCTGGGAGAAGTAAACGGCCACGTCCTCAAAGGTCACACAGCCCTGCCATGATGGGGACAGATCATTCCATGATCAATTTCTCTCGTAGGATTCCAGGTTCCTTCACCCAGATATCCATCCCCTGCTCACCCTCCTCCCAGTGTCCCCACCTTGAAGGAAATATCAGGCCTTGAGGCCACAGATACCTGCTCTCCTCTCAAGGTATCAGCGTCACTGTCTACTCACCAACTACAGGCATGTGGGCAGGGAGACACCATCTAAACTCTGAGCCTGGCATTAGGACCTCCGCCCTCTTGTCAGGTAATTCCCCTGGAGTCCTGAATTGTGTCTCCCATAGATAACCAAATGTGGGCTTTGGGTTTCTTCAGAGTGTCCAGTTTCACGGACTGGAAGAATCCCAGAGACAAAGGGTGGGGTCAGAACCACTGAGGGCCTGGAACATCCTCTGCTCACCTGTGAATAGTCCGTAAGCACTTCTGTCCTCATGGGAGTTCGTGGGAAGAGGGAGGTCCTTACAGGCAGGTAACCACGGCAGGCTCAGTAGGCTCAGGCCTCCCTCTACCTCTGTCTAGCCCCGGAGCAAGGTGACCTGAGATAACTGCATTATCTCTGAGTATAATGAGTAGCTCATTATCTCTGAGATCTCAGTGCTCTTAAACTGTGTGATCTTGGATAAAGAGTCAACCTCCCTGTATGTACCTCGGTGTTTTCATCCCCTTCCCAGTCTGTTCTAAACCTGAGCAACTTCTGGAAAACTTGAAAAGCCTAACTCACACCGTGTGCCTCTCGTATTCACAACCCTTCATGGCCTCCAGCGTCCTGAGATGAAAACTCCTCCCCTTCCCATGCCAAACGGGAATGATTCTCCGCGAATTTACATAAACCAGTCCGTCCGTCAGTCACCCTCTCCCAAGCGTCATCACATTGTCTGTAAAACACAGGGCCCCAGCCACGACCGCCTCACCATCCTGGACTCGGGGGCCCGGGCTGAGGGCACGCGAGCCGGCGCTCCGCACTCAGGGCTTTAGTGTCTGGTGGGGTGAGGGCGGTGAGGGCCCGGAGGTCGAGCGTTTACCTGAGGCGGGTCCCTCAGCGCGGCGGCCGCCATCGGAGTCAGAGGAGAGGGGTTTTAAGTGACAGGCGACAGAGAAGGAACTTGTGTACAATTATCATCTACCGCCGCAGCCCTGCAAACTCGCCGCTGGACTGTGGGGACAACCTCTCCTCTAGAGGCTCCTCGCTGTGTTCATCCCCTAGCCTCCGTCCACGCTCCAAAAGGTCTCCGAGGGAAGGTGTACACTGAGCAGTCACCATACTGCCGCCACAGAGGCGCCGGAAGTCCCGCCCAGATCCTCGGGTCGCGGAAGGGCGCTGATTCCGAGCGTTCATTGGCTACACGCCTTGGGCCCGTCATCCGGCATTGTGGGTAACGTAGTTCCCACGGCGCCACCAGCCACGGAAGCGGGCTCCCACCCCGAGATCGCGGAGTCCCGGAGGCTGTCAGAGACCTGTCGCCCGGATGGCGGTCTCCATGTGGGCCGGAATGGAGGCTCTCCCGGGAACTGCCCGGGTGAGGGGCCAGCGACGCTTCGACCTCACATCTGGACCCCCTGTGCGGATCCGGGTGGTCTGAGCCACGTGGGAGGTCTCGCCGGGCGTGGGGGTGAGGGGAGACCCCATCAGCATCTTTTGTGAAACGTCCTGAGTCTCTCCCCGGAGTGGGAGCCGTTCTCACCCTTCTCCGACCCCTGACTGCAACACAGGCTCGTGATCTGACCGGATCAGGGTTGGCGCCGGGTTTGGCTGCGCTACCTGGGAGGCTGTCCTGGAAAAGATCGGGATTTGGCTTCATAGGCGAAAAGTTGAGACTGCCAGGGCGTCGGGGGGTGGGGGGAACTAGGCCCCCGGAGAGCCGCTTGGACTGGTTGCCGGCGGCCGGGGTCTGGGCTTGACCTCTGTGAGGGAGGGGGCGGGGTGTGCGGACTTTCGTCCTGGGAAAGCCGGTGCCTGAAGACCAGAGGGGCCGAGGGAGACCATCTGGGGGCTCCATGCTGACCCTTCCCAGGAGGAGCCTGAAGAACGGAGGAGCCTCTGCGGTGTCTGGAGGCCCTCGGCGCGTCCCGGCAGCTCCGCGCTCTCCCACCCCGAAAGCCTCCGAGGCAGCTAGCGGGGCTCCGCGGGCGCCCCCTGGCGGCTGCTCTTGAAAGTCGGAATTCAGCCCTTGGGTGAACCGGTGGGAACGCCAGGGAGGGAAGTGCCCACTCCCCATGGGGGTCCCGTTGGGCTCATGCGCCCCACTGCTCTCTGCCTTAGTCACTGTCATGTATATATACATGCCACCCTGTTACTCCTTGATGAAGCCTCTCTGGGGTCTCACTGTCAGCCCACGGCCAGTGGGTACCGTGGGGTCTGATGTTCCAGCCTGTCTCTCCTCCCACCCCCACTGTGTTTAGGCGACGGTGCCCTCTTCAAGATGCAACCTCAGATCACAGGCGGCTTCGCTACCTTCTAGCGCGTCTATTTCCGGAGGAAAAGAACTAACTAGGTTCCCTTGGAACGCGAGCAGGGACAGACTGGGCCAGAACCTGCCCCCGGCGTAGAGCGCTGGGAGGGCCCTAGACCAGCCTGCTCCTGGGCCCCTTCCAGCCGTGGACGGGGTAGGTGGCCCGTGGCCCTCCTCCAACTCCCCCACCTGCACATTTTCCCAAAGTCAGGGTGTCTGGGAAAGCAATACGATTCGACAGAGGATTCTGTTGAAGAATAACTCCTCCTGTTACTGAAAGAGAATTGTAAAGTACCTGAAGAGAATTCGGAAAGCAGGGAAACCCTTGTGAAGCAGTAGGACACCGTCAAAACCTAAATGCAGGCAGCAATGCAGGCAGCCAGCGCTGCTCTTATTTCCTCCTGACCCCTCCACACGCTTCAGCAGTGTTGTGTGACCAGGGTGCTGTGCTTAGTCGCTCAGTCGTGTCCAACTCTGCCACCCCATGAACTGTAGCCCACCAGGCTCCTCTGTCCATGGGCTTCTCCAGGCAAGAATACTGGGGTGGGTTGCCATGCCTTCCTCCAGGGGATCTTCCCAACCCAGGGATCGAACCCAGGTCTCCTGCATTGCCGACGGAATCCTTACGGATTCCCAGGAATATGTATATATACATGCCACCCTGTTACTCCTTGGTGAAGCCTCTCTGGGGTCTCCACTGACCACACCTAAGGTGTTCAGGGAGATGTCCCCACTCTGGTCGGTATAATATTGCCAGGACATCCTCCAGTCAGTTCTCAGCCCTAGCAGCAATAATTTCTGTCCCCTTTTGAAGTCGGACCCGGACCAGGCACAGTTTAGTTTTCTTCCAGACACCCTGGTGGCCCCATGCAGATTTCTGAGACATCTTCATTGCTGGCATCCCATTTTCTGTCAGGCCCATACAGGAATGAAACCATCCTCTGCCCTGAGCTCTGACTACTTGGAAATTCAGAGTATATTATGAAACTTACAAATAATTTAAAGCCTGGAAAAAATGTGGTTTGAAGTAGAAGCACCTTCAAAGAGACTTACTGGAGTTAAGGAAATTATTTTCTGAGCTGAAAGTGGGGCAGAAAATCCCAAAATGACAGGCTCAAGTCACATTATATACTACCTCTGTTCCTAATGGGATGTACCTATATCCTGTTGGAGAGCGATTTTGCTGTATGCAATATGCAGTTTACTCCAGGAAGAAAGATGATTTTCCCTGGCAAGGGAGTGGAGTGGAGTGGAGTGGGGAGTGGAAGGGAGATTGTGAGAGAAGAAATTTAACCTGACTGGTATGGGCAGTGGGGAAGAGGAGCCAGGTAGCCTCAGGAAATAGATAACACTTTGAGGAGGTGGTGGACAAAAGAGAGTTTTCCTGTTAGGAAAGTAATATCAGTCCATGTTTGTACACTGATGAGAGGTCAGAAGAGAGGGGGGAAATAGGGAGGGAAAAGATCACGAAAAACAGGATTAAATTACTTAATATGTCAACGTCACTGTTCACTATGGAAATTCTAATCAAAACCTTGTGATACCAGTCTACATCTACCGGGGAAAAGGGGGAAATAACAAGTATTGATGAGGCTGTGGAGAAATTGGAGCAATTGCCCTCTGCTGATGGGAATATAAAATGCTGCAGTGTGAGAACGAGTTTAATAATATAAAAACCAGTTCCGCAGCTCCCTATAAACAATAGAGAAATGCCATTGATTCAGCAATTCCACTCCTATGTATACACCCAAAGAATTGAAAGCAGGGACTCAAACACATCTGTGGGCAGCAGTGTTCATAGCAGTGTTATTCACGATAGCAAAAAGGCAGAAACAGCTTAAGTGTACATTAACATCTGAATGGAATTTTAAAATGTGGTTCATTCATACTGTGCAATATTATCCAGTCATAAAAAGGAATGAAGTTCTGATACATGCCACAACATGATGAACCTTCAAAATGTAGTAAATGATTAAAACCAGACATAAAAAGATAGTATACAAATTTACTTATAAGAAATAACTAGAATAGCCAAATTGTACAGACTGAAAATAGACTAGAGGTTTCCAGGGGTTGGCCAGAGAGGGGGGGTGGGTATTACTGCTTAGTAAGTACACATTTTACATTTTGTTTGATTTTTTTTTTAATTTAGTGGTAGTAGATACCAAACATTGCAGATATATTTACTGCCACTGAATTATATATTTGAAAATTAAAATAGACAAATTGTTTGTCATGTATAATTCACCACTGTATATACACACACACCAAAAAACTGCTAAGTGAGAGATTTTTGTCTAAATTTCTAAGTTCAATTTTCCTGTTATACCATGTCAAAATTTCATGAACTTTTTGTTTTTTGATGAAGTTAGAACAGCTAGATTGATTGTATAAATATTCACCCACAATATGAGACCTGCTATAGGAATATGAATTTTAGGACCTAGTTTTTTTCATCAACACAGAATTTGCTTTCATATCAAGAATCTGAAAAATATTAGTCAACCAAATGTTAATAGTTAAGGGGAAATAATTTGAAATCTTATAGAGAATAGAGTCAAGTGGTCACAGTCAAATTAGCAAAAAGTGTTTTCCTTGCCTAGAAGATGAAGCAAATATATTATGAATGATATGAATATCACTGCAAATAAGCACAAAGGGGCTGACTGTTGGGAAAAACAAAGACAAAAATACAGAGAGATCTACCAGCCACTGGCCCGGAATAGCAAATAGACTCATCCAAATGGACAAAAGAGAAGACAGTGAGTAAATTATGAAAAAGAAGTTCACAAGGACAAAGATGGTAGATGTGGCCCTTGCCTCAGCAGAAGTTCTGGAAGAATGGCTGTTGCTGTGAATGTGTTGGATTGTGCAGAAAACAACCATGGAGCCACTAGCCCAGACCATGAGACCTGAACATATAGTCTATTGTGAAGAATATGGCCACAAATACAAACCTTGTAATTCTTTCTGGATTCAGTGTGGAACGGAAACAAGATACATATATGCTCTCTACGAGACCCACATCAGATCTAGGGATGCATATAGACTGAAATTGATGGGATGGAAAAAAGTATTCCACACAAATGGAAATTAAAAGAAAGCTGGAGTAGCAATATTCATATCAGACAAAATGGACTTTAAAGTAAAGACTGAAATAGAGATAAAGGAGGACACTACATAATGACTAAGGGATCAATTCTAGAATGTATAGCAATTGTAAATATAGATGCACCCAACATTGGGGGATGTCAATATATAAGGTGAAAATGCTAACAGCCATTAAGGGAGAAATTGACATTAACACAATAATAACGGGGGTTGTTTTATCACCCCACTTTCATCAATGGGCATATCATCCAGTCAAAAAATAAGAATAATAAATGTTTTTCTTGAGTCACTGCTGTCAGAGTCCTTTCCAGTGCTGGGAATCACAGTCCACCTTATCTCCCTAGGATGCCCTCCAACACTGCTGATCTCTGGACCTGCTGTGGGGGCAACTCGGATTCTAATCTGGTCCTACTCCTGTGTGTTCTTGCCTCCAATGACCACAGCTATCAGAGCTACTGCGTTTTCTTTTGTGGGAGCTCTCAGTGTCCTTTTATATATTCCATACACAGAGTCTGCCTAGTTGATCATGTGGATTTAACCTGCAGCTTGTACAGCTGGTCGGAAGGTTTTGAGTCTTCTTCCGTAGCCATACTGCCCCGGGTTTCAATTGTGGTTTTATTTGCACCTCTGCATATGGGTTGCCCACTGGGGTTTAGCTCTGGAGGTTGCCCTGAAGGGCTTGGGTTTGCCCCTGTGAGGGCCAGGTGTGGAGGTGGTGCAGCTGCTTGGGTCGCAGGGGTTCTGGCAGCAGCAGGTACTCAGGGAGGTTGGCGGCTAGGGCAGCAGGAATTATAGTGCTCTAGAAGGATATGTCAACCAGTAATGGCCAATACGCTCCAGTGAGAGTTGAGCATGAAGGTGGTGCCAGTGCTTGGCTTGTGGGGACCCTGGTGGCGCCAAGTGTTCAGGGACATGGACTGCCTCCACGCCAGGAGTTATGGCCCTATCAGAGTCTTTTTTCGAGCCTCTTGTAGCTGGCGATCAGAAGGCCTCTTTGGCCAATCTTTCTCTACAACTCTGCCCATTCAGGCACTTAGAGGGCTCCTTTGCCTGGGGTCCTTCTCTGTTGTTCGGTGCGTCAGGCACATAGAGGGGACCCCCTGACTGGGGTGCTACTCTGTAGATTGGTGCATTAGGCACTCAAAGGGGCACCCTGGGTGGGGTCCTACTCTGTAGTTCAGTGCGTCAGGCATTTGATGGGACAGCCTCTCTATTGTTCAGCTGCCAATGCTGGTGTGTGGAAAGAGAGAGGTTATGGTGATGGCTCCACCCCCTATGTGTGACTCAGCAGTATCGCCTTGTTTCCATGGCTACCTGGCTTTCCAGGTAGCCCACCAGGCACTTCCCACCACATCTGTTTCCTCACATCCCCTCGACCTGTCTTTCCAGTCAGCAGCAGCCCTCACTCTGGGGTTGCTCCACAATCCCTAAACTTCAGCTCCCAGCCTCTGCCCCTTCCAGGAGACCCGCGTTCCTGCCTGGTGTTTGTATGGCTGCGGCAAAGACTGTCTGATTCTCATTCCGTCTAGGCACTCACATATCAGCTGTTTCACTCTCACCCTTAAATGTTTCTCCTCTGACTCAGACAGTTGCTCCGCTGTGGGAGTCAGACCCCTGCTTCAGTTCCCCACCCACCAAGGGCAGGTCCAGTCCTACTAACTCTTCCGTTTTGCCCCCTAGTTTCTTTGTCCTACCAAGTTTTGCGTGGTTCTATATATTCTTCTCCACTGGCCAAGTACTGCTGTCTGCTCTCAGCTGGTGTTCTGCATGCACATCTGTGTCTGAAGGTGTATTTCTCCGTATCCGTGGAGAGAGATGTACTCCATGTCCACCTACTTCTCCGCCATCTTGTTCTCCCTCCTTGATGAACGTTTCAGTTTATGAAGCTAGCACAGCTAGTCTGAGTGTATAAATATTCATCAACAATATTAGACCTCTTATACAGGTAAACGTTTAGGACCTAATTGGTTCTATTTGCATAAAATATACCCTTTTATAAATAATATGAAAATTGTTGCAGTAGTAACAGACATACCGATAAATACATTAAATGTAAGTGGATTAATGTTCCAACCAAAACACATAGACTAGTTGAATGGATACAGAAACAAGACCCATATATACACTGTCTATGAGACCCACATCAGATTTAGGGATGTACATAGGCTGAAAGTGATGGGATGGAAAAAAGTATTCCACACAAATGGAAACTAAAAAAAAAAAAAGCTGGAGTAGCAATATTTATATCAGACAAAGTAGAATTTAAAGCAAAGACTGGTATAGAGACCAAGGAGGGCACTACATAATGACTAAGGGATCAATTTAAGAATATATAATCATTGTAAATATAGATGCACCAATAGAGGAGGACCTCAATATGTAAGGTGAATACTAACAGCCATAAAGGGAGAACTTGACATTAATGCAATAATAATAGGGGTTGTTTATCACCCCCACTTTCATCAATGGGTGGATCACCCAGACAGAAAATCAATAAGGAAACATACTTTTAATGACACTTGAAAGTAGATCAGAGATTTCCTGAGCCTAGGCCGAGAGGGAGATGGGGAATTATTGCTCTATGGGTATGTATTTTCCATCTGGCTTGATCTTTTTTTCAAGCTAGTGGTGGTAGATGCAAAACATTGCAAATATATTTATTGCCACTTAATTGTATACTTGAAAAGTATTTAAATGGCAAATTTCTTGTTATATATAATTAAACACTATATATACACCCACCAAAAAAGCTGCAAAGTGAGAGATTTTTGTCCAAATTGTCCCCAAAATTTTCCTGTTAGACACTTCAAACCTTCATGAACTTTTCTGTTATTGAAGCTAACACAGCTAGTTTGATGGTATAAATATTCACCAACAATATTAGACCTCTTATACAGATAAACATTTAGGACATAGTTGTTTCCACCTACATAAAATATACTCTTATGGATAATCTGAAAATTGTGGCAATAATAACATATTGATAAATACCTTAAATGTAAGTGGATTAAATGATCCAACCAAAACACATAGAATAGTTGAATGGATACAGAAATAAGACCCATATATATGCTGTCTATGAGACACACATCAGATCTAGGGATGCATATAGACTGAAAGTAATGGGAGGGGAAAAAGTATTCCACACAAATGAAAATTAAAGGAAAGCTGGAGTAGCAATATTCATACAAGACAAAATAGAATTTAAAGACTGGTATAGAGACAAAGGAGGGCACTACATAATGACTAAGGGTTTAATTCAAGAATATATAACAATTGTAAATCTAGATGCATCCTCCTATTGAGGAGGACCTAAATATATAAGGTGAATACTAGAGGATGAAATGGTTGGATGGCATCACTGACTCAATGGATGTGAGTTTGGGTAAACTTTGGGAGTTGGTGATGGTTAGGGAGGCCTGGTGTGCTGCAGTTCATGGGGTCACAAAGAGTTGGACACAACTGAGCGACTGAACTGAACCGAACAGCCATAAAGGGAGAACTTGACGTTAATGCAGTGATAATGGGGGTTGTTTATCACTCCCACTTTCATCAATGGGCACATCATCCAGACAGAAAATCAATAAGGAAACATATGCTTTTAATGACACTTTAGACTGGGTGTACCTAATTGATATTTGTTGAGCATTTTATCCAAAAGCAACAAAATCCACCTTCTCATATGCACGTGGAACATTTTGCAGTATTGACTACATGCTAGGACACAAAGTGATACTCAGTAAATTTAAGAACTTTGAAATCATATCGAGCATCATTTCCAATCATAGTGCTGTGAGATTTAAGATAAACTACAGGAAAAAAAACTGTGAAGAGCAGTCTGAAAATTCTTAGTAAACTAAATATTAACAAATGAGGGAAAGAAATTGAGTTTTCTATAGAGAATAGAGTCAAATGGTCACAGCCAAATTAGCAAAAAGTGTTTTCCTCACCTCCAAGATGACAAAACTGTCTTATGAGTGACACGGGTATCACTGTAAATAAGCACAAAGGGGCTGACTGTTGGGAAACATAGAGACAAAAATATAGAGGTATCTACCAGCCACTGGCCCGGAATAGCAAATAGAATCATCCAAATGGACAAAAGAGAAGCCAGTGAGTACAATAAACAGAAGGAGCTGGCAAGGATCACGATGGTGGACGTGGCTCTCGCCTCGGCACTAGCTCTGGAAGAATGGCAGTTGCTGTGAATGTGCTGGACTCGCTGCTTGTGCCTGAGGAGGAAAACCACCATGGAGCCACTAGCCCAGGCCATGAGACTCAAACATACAAAGTCCATTGTGAAGTATATGGCCATACATATAAACCTTACAACTCTGTTTGAATTCAAAGTGAAACAGTATCCATAACTTACGTTTATACTATAGCTTTCATTGCGTGTTGGACTAGTGATGTACAGAATAATAGAGATATTTACCAGAAGATGGAGGAGCCAGGAAAGGAAGACACAGAAGCCAATAAACTTTGACGATCTCATTCTGAGCTCCAGCCACCTGGAGAAATGGGGGCAAAGTCTAATGGCTTGGAAGCCACTGAGGAGGGAGGTCATGCTAAGGCAAATCCCTCTGCCCACCCTTTGGAAATAGAAGAGAAGTTTACATCCAGCATCGTTCAGGAAATTCCTGGATCCAAAAGTTGCCATTGTATGTGGGATCCCTCTAGAGAAAAGCACCAAGGAGTTGGCTAAGACGAGCTGGTTGAGAATCAAGTCTGTGGGTCTCACCTTGCGTCCAGTGAGCAAAGTGAAGTTATAAAGACAAAGGAGGAATGAGTTCCCAAGGATCCCCACTCCCATCTCAGTGACTAAGATAATTCCCATTTCCCACTTTGAAGAAGCCATCATATTGGTGTCTGTGGGACACTGATTTTATTAATCGTTGGAACCAGAGGAATGGTTAGTTCCAGAAAGAAAAGTAAAAGTCGCCACCATCTCCATGCCCAGTATCCTCCAGTGTTAAGCCTAACACATACTTTCGCAATTTAGGTGAGCATCAAGTGTGTGTTTATGGGTGCAGACTTTACTCATGACGATCTGGTTCTACTTGGAAATGCGATCTGTGTGAAAGCATTATCTGTGTGGCATATCTGTGCGACCGAGTTTTGTACATGTGTAAATTGAGTGAAGAAGGTCTGTACCCTCTTATCTACAGTCATGAACTGGATACATTTGGCATTTAAATGCTGGGTACGAAACTGTGTGTAGAATGGGCTGGAATTTTCCCAGATATATGGAGAAATGTATATACAGGCATCACAACATATATTTATATAGGGTGGGGAGGAATTTAAAGCTAGACTTTTTTTTCCCATTCACCAAATGTTTTTAAAAATTATTAACTTTTTATGTATTTATTTTTGGCTGTGCTGAGTCTTCACTGTGGTGTGGTGCAGGGCTCATTGCCATGGCTTTTCTTGTTGAAGAACACAGGCTCTAGGCAAGCGGGATTCAGTGGTGGCCGTGCCAGACTTCGTTGTTCCATGGCACTGGAATCTTCTTGCATCAGGGACTGAACCTGTGTCCCCTGCATTGACAGGTGGATTCCTAACTACTAGATGACCAGGGAAGTCCTCAAGCTAGACTTTGAAAGAAAAAAAAAACTGATTAGAGTGTTTCATTTGTAGAAGTGTACATATTTCACCTAATTATTAAAAGATATTAGAGCAAAGTAAATGTTTTAAAGACATTAAATTTACAAGTTAAAAAATATATTGACTAGTGGTGTTTATATGTAAAGGAAATACTTCAAGTAACTGAAAATACGTAATTTGACTGTATATCCCTAAAAGGAAACTATGAAGGCCAGACTAGCTACAAAGAAAGCTTATGTATTGTCTATATAGCTTACTATAATGTATTGGTAGTTTGAATCAAATATGTTAATATCAATGGGAAAGAGTAATTATGGGAGATGGAATAAATGCAAATATAAAACCAAAGAATTTGAATAATGTTAAAATTCACAAGTGATGACAGCAGACAGTACTAACACAAGTATTATTAGATTTTAAATTGATATGTATTTGATTTTGCTTTCCATTGAAAAAAATCTGAAAATTTTGGACAATCCTACAACAATACCTAATTCTAGCACCCAGTTTATGGATTCAATATATGTCCCAGTATAAGTAAAGAGATTTTTGAGGGGAGGAGGAAAATGTTTATTTCATACTTAGGACAGGAACTTTCCAACAGTTAATTGTGAAGCTACTTATCATATACAGAAAGCAAGTAAATAGAACACCGATGTCAGTGATTCCACCTTAAGAAGCTGCTCTGGTGTGATTTTTGTACCATAGTAATTCCCCAAAATAGACTCATATAAACCAAACACCTATAAGTGTTATAAAAATAACTACAAAAGTTAAAGTTGGAAGAGCTTAAGGAAACAGCTCATCATTCAGAAAACTAATAAAGGGTAAACATCAACCATTTCTCTTGTAGTAACTGTACATACTACATTTCACAGGAAGAAATCTTGGTGCTGAATACAGGAAGAAATCTTTGTGTTGAACATAAAATTGAACTGTTTTGGATAAGACCTGTGGATGGACATAAAAACATTATTCATCATGGGAAAATATACAGAAATACAAATTAAATAATAAAAAATAAATTCAACAACATGTTGGGAGAGACTTCCCCATGAGGACAACTCCTTCTTCCAGATGCACTGATGTTTCATTGTTGGATGATGAAATACGAGGACATTTACAAATTGTGAAGACACAAGTCCACTATGCTGGACAGTATGTTATTGAGTCACTATCTTCCTGGCATGCTCATTTCATTATGGCTGGAATAACAGCTGTGAGATAATTTCCATTTCCATGATCAAGAACTGAAATCATTTTACACTTGAGAAAAAATGGAATCGTTAGTAGAATTGGTAATATAATTTAAAATAGTCACAAATCAAGATAGCCACTTTTTTCCCTTTTGTAGCAAGAGTCTCCTTAAATGTATAAGCAAAAATACATAAATGTAATTTTCAAAAACAATATTAAAATTAAGTGATGTGCAGAAAACACTGAATGAAAACCTACAACTATATTTAAATCACAGGATTCATTTTAAGTAACAGCAGAGAAAATTGTTGTCCAGAATGGCTATTTTCCCAATGTTAATAATTCAGTTAACACTAAGAAGTATGAATAAAATTGCAATGAAAATGGAATACTAATATCAAAATAACACAAATTTTGTAAAAAAAAAAAAGTTTTTAACAAAATGAACTTGCCTTACTATGTATAAAATAGAACAATAATTACAGGTTTCTACTGGCAAAAGCCCAAAACAGAATAGAGCATGGAGCTTCCAAGTTTATATTTGCAAATATTTATATGATAAGTGTGAAAGTGCTGCACTCAATATGCCAACAAATTTGGAAAACTCAGCAGTGGCCACGGGACTGGGAAAGGTCAGTTTTCATTCCAATCCCAAAGAAAGGCAATGCCAAAGAATGTTCAAACTACCGCACAACTGTACTCATCTCACATGCTAGAAAAGTAATGCTCAAAATTCTCCAAGCCAGTCTTCAGCAATATGTGAATGGTGAACTTCCAGATGTTCAAGCTGGTTTTAGAAAAGGCAGAGGAACCAGAGATCAAATTGCCAACATCTGCTGGATCATTGAAAAAGCAAGAGAGTTCCAGAAAAACATCTATTCCTACTTTATTGACTACACCCAAGCCTTTGACTGTGTGGATCACAACAAATTGTGGAAAATTCTGAAGGATATGGGAATACCAGACCACCTGATCTGCCTCTTGAGAAATCTGTATGCAGGCCAGGTAGCAACAGTTAGAACTGGACATGGAACAACAGACTGGTTTCAAATGGGAAAAGTAGTACATCAAGGCTGTATATTGTCACCCTGCTTATTTAACTTCTATGCAGAGCACATCATGAGAAACACAGGGCTGGATGAAGCACAAGCTGGAATCTCGAGTGCCAGGAGAAATATCAATAACCTCAGGTATGCAGATGACACCACCCTTATGGCAGAGAGTGAAGAGGAACTGAAATCCTCTTGATGAAAGTGAAAGAGAGTGAAAAAGTTGGCTTAAAGCTCAACATTCAGAAAACTAAGATCATGGCATCCGGTCCCATCACTTCATGGCAGATAGATGGGGAAACGGTAGAAACAGTGGCAGACTTTATTTTTTGGGGTTTCAAAATCACTGCAGATGGTGACTGCAACCATGAAATTAAAACACTTACTCCTTGGAAGGAAAGTTATGACCAACCTAGACAGCGTATTAAAAATCAGAGACATTACTTTGTCAACAAAGGTCCATCTTTTCAAGGCTATGGTTTTTCCAGTAGTCATGTATGGATGTGAGAGCTGGACTATAAAGAAAGCTGAGTGCCGAAGAATGGATGCTTTTGAACTGTGGTGTTGGAGAAGACTCTTGAGAGTCCCTTGGACTGCAAGATCAAACCAGTCCATCCTAAAGGAAATCGGTCCTGAGTGTTCATTGGAAGGACTGATGCTGAAGCTGAAACTCCAATACTTTGGCCACCTGATGCGAAGAGCTGACTCATTTGAAAAGACCCTGATGCAGGGAAAGATTGAAGGCAGGAGGAAAAAGGGACGACAGAGGATGAGATGGTTGGATGGCATCACCGACTCAATGGACATGAGTTTGGGTAAACTCTGGGAGCTGGTGATGGACAGGGAGGCCTGGCATGCTGTGGTCTATGGGGTCACAAAGAGTCAGACACAACTGAGTGACTGAACTGAACTGAACTAAACTGAACTGAAGTCTATGAAATTTATATATGATAAAAGTTCATTAATTAATTTCAAGAAATTACTTATTTAACATAGAATATTAAAATCTTTGGAGATCTAGTTAGGACACTAGAGATATATTTCCAGCATTAATCTTAGGGAAAAAAATAAATATTAGATCTACATATAAGGAATTGTTAATATCTGAGGGGAAAATGCTGCAGTGTATCTTCTCGATGTTGCCTGGGCAAAGTATTACTAAGCATGTATGAAACCTGAGGATTTAAACATTTTTTATCTTCATATTTATAAAAATTAGAAGTTTTTCACTTTTATAATATCTTGTGCTGAATGATTCCTAAAGCAAAAAAATAAAATGAAAACATTTAGATACATAGAACACCAAGAGGTGATTATAACCTCAGTGCTTTTTGGGGGGAACTGAATATGAATAAACAATTTTTAGAAAAGAAATCACACATTATAAACTACCATTTTCTCATAAGCCAAGTTATATTGAAAAGGACACAGAATGTTTCACATATTCATGTGAGTGTTGGGATTTCATTTTAGGGTTATTGTCCTCTAATAAAGAATTACATAATGTATCTTTTCTATCAAAAATCCTCTATCAAAATCCTAATCAAATATGATTTAAACTTTGAAATTTGTAAAAAATGGGCTTGGACTTCCAGGGTGATCCAGTGGTTAAGAGCCTGAGCTTCATTAGCAGGTTGGGAATTATCTCAGATGCTAGACAGGGCAACAAAAAAAAATTTTTTTAAGTTTTTAATTTAAAAACTGTAAAAATGTTAAATTGTATAATTCTAAAATTGTAAACAAATTTTACAATTTTCTATATTGTACATTTGAAAGCTCCATATTCTCCTGCTGCCTGCACGTTCCCACAGACAGGGTGTAAACACCCCGCCAGAGTGCCCAGGGCACCAGTGTGAAAGCTGGCCACCGCCACCAGCTCGCCTTCTTGCCCTCCCCTCCTGTGACCGCGGAGCAGTCACAGCTCCCAGTGAGATCCCACCCTTCACCCTGTGCTGTGTGCTCCCCCTTGAGCCCCAGTAACGGTGCTGGCCCGCAGATCCGCCCCCCTCTCTCTCTCCTCCCCACCCATTTGGTTGCACCTTTCCCCGGGCAGGCTCTCCCCCTGTGGCCTCCTCTTACCACCAGTGACTGTCTCTCTAAGACCTGTGAGTATAATCTCTTTTTCCCTGGACTTCTTCCACTCCTTCCTGTATCTTCCTCTGATGGAATATATCAAAGGATACAAAGCAAGCACAAATTTAAATTAAAAAATTCATTTAGTGTGCTGAACACATAAAATTTTATCTGTTTTTCTAATCTTGTATCCAAAATGACTGTGCAGTTTAGGATTAAGTAAATTAAATGCTGTGTAAAATACATTTCAGTCATATTTCAGTAACTGAAATAAAGAAAGCATTTTGTTTTAAAGTGTGAGGACATGCCTCAGCAAACAAACTACAACACTAGTGATGAAAAAATCTGGCCAGGTGGAGGGATGAGTAGGAGGTGAACATATCTCATTATTGATGTTCATTCACGTCACTTGGACATGATTAGTACGTTTTATAAGAGATACAGAAGATGAATTCACTCTGCCATACATCAGCAATTGTGATTTTAAGAGAAATCTTAGTGACTGAGTATAAATATTCACTAAGTGAAGCAGGGCTACTTATCTGAGGAAAGGTGGAAAGAAGGGTAGGGGGTGTCAGACTGAATATTCACCTTAAATTTATACACCTCTTGATTTGTGAAAATGTTCATAATAAAATTTGTGGTTTTACAATTAAAATTTTATCATTTAGAAAATATTTAAGACTTAAAGGAGGAAATTTGGCTATAACTAATGAAATAAAAATATGTAATAACATTAAAACAGTGAAGTAAATTGTGAGAAAGGCAAAGATTTGAGAATCTTTAGGAAGAGACATCCAAAAATTGAATATAACACAGGTAGAAAGAACTTACGGCTGATTCATGTTGCTGTATGCCAGAAACCAACACAATATTTGAAGTAATCATCCTCCACTTAAAAAGAAACACATTTTCAAAAAACAAGTAAGAAGATAGAACATGCCAATTAATAAAAATTTGTTTACATAGAAAAACCAGGATTCCATAAATTTGGAATTTGCTGTGGTTATTAATCATTCCAGCTATCAAACACTTCAGCAATACATGACAGTAAAGGATCATGATATTTCCTTAATTGCAAGGTTTTGAGTAACAAAGGGAGGCCCTAAAATAAGTGACTCCCGTTCTCCTAGAGAAGGATTTGAACATGACCATCAAACAAATTCTCTAGTCAGAATTTTATTTGATTAGTATTATATTCATTTTAAATTAATAAACATACATTTTAGAGAGTAGACAGAGCAAAGATTAATCACAGAAGGTGAATAGCGAGGCACTTAACATCTGGTTACATTACATACCATGATAATATGATGATCTTAAGGTATTGAAGTCTTTGATTATTCTTTTTTTTTTCTAAACCCCACAAAAATTAAGCATATTTTGGGGTTTTTAAAAAATAAACATTTTATTTCCTTAAAAGGAGAACGATAAGACTTTCAGTTTTCTAAATAAGAGCTAAATATTAACACATTGATGACGGAAATTGTAAAATTATATTATTAAAGACACTATTTAGCACCACAGGCTAACAAGAAGAGACAACAAAACCAAATATGCATTCCATCCTCTCACTCAGGCCTCAGGTAACTCATCACTCAGAGCTGGGAGATCAGCATCATTATCTAGTTGCTGGGCACTTGCCTGAAGTGTAAAGTCTTTAGAGTGAACGCTGTGAGGTTCAGCACCTTTACTCAAAGAAACATGAAGGAAGATCTCATAGAAACTGAAAATGTGAGGAGTGGGTAGAGAGGGAGGAATGCATCAAATGTGTGCAGGAAGCATAATCCTCACTGTATACAAAGGTATATTTGTGTTCCCATCCCAGGAAACACGAGAGAGAGAATTTGATGTATATTGGTGTTTTAAACTGAATTATCTGTAATATAATTATCTTGTGAATCTGACACCTAAAAAGTAGATCCTTACCAAATACCATTGGCAGTCAGGACCGTGTGTTCCCAGACAGCATCTGTGCCGGTGTGGCAAAGGGCAACTGGACCCAAGATGAAGGTTTGGAATACCATGATGTCATCTCCTTATTGGGAAGTGATTATCCTGTCACCTGTCATTTCAGTGGCAATACTTGCAGAGGGAGTTGAGATTATCTTGAAAAAATATTTGTGCATTATTCAAATCACTGAAAGCAATTACTACTGATGATAATGTTTTCTATTGAAAATTACAGAAACAACTTGGGAACAATTTACCTGTGAAGTATTTAAGAAGTCTCAGGGAACACCAGTGTTGTCAACCAGGCAGGCAAATGTATAACCTGGAAAATCATAAGACACCCCCCCACCCCGAGTGGCTGTGGTTCCAACCACTGGCCAATTTTTAACTTGTGTTACCACCTGATGCAAAGAGTCCACTCATTGGCAAAGAACCTGATGCTGGGAAAGATTGAAGGCAGGAGGAAAAGGGGGCAACAGAGGATGAGAAATTTAGATAACATCACCGGCTCAATGGACATGAATTTGAACAAACTCCTGGAGATGGTGAAGGACAGGGAAGTCTAGCATGCTGCAGTCCATGGGGTCACAAAGACATGACTTAGCAACTGAACAACAGCAGAACCAGGGCATCAGATCCAGATGGCTGTTTGAAAGATTCTCAATTTTAAGAATTACAAAAATTGTAGCTGAAACCATATGCAGGCAAACAAATGTTGTCTTTGATATAGGTGAAGTATGTGATCGCTCCCTTCCTGACCTTGGTAATGAATAATCATGCAGTATATTAAGGTGATAAGCTAATGTACAATATATATTTTCTAAAAAAACTCAGACATAGTAATTTTTTCCTTTCTTTTTTGTTTCTATTATGCTATGGTTATATCTTCAGCAGCAGTTTAAAATTGGGTAGAAATCTAATCGCATTGCTGGAAACCACTACTTAAGCATTAAATGTGTGGCATTCTCAATCAAAAAGACAAAATATTACTATGAATATATTTATGGGCATACATGAATTCAGTTTTAATACTGGTATATAATTCAGTTGTATATATGCCAAATATTCTAGAGTAAAATTATTTTCTATTCATATTAATGAGTTTAGAATATACACAAATGCAAGTTTGTTTGTTTTTTTTAATGTTTTGACCATAACATGGATCTTAGTTCCTCAACCTGGGATTGAACCCACAGCTCCTACAGTGGAAGCATGGAATCTTAACCACTGGATCATCAGGGAAGTCCTCAAATGCAAATTTTTTTAAAATACCAATTTTCTCTCCAGAGAGAATATTATCTTTGAAAATACGAGGAAAAACATCTTATGGAAATGCGTTCAACCATAGAATTAAGTAAATATGTGAAAACATTGAAAAAACTGAAGAACTTAAAAGCAGATCTAAATAAAGACAAAACATAGTCCTTTGTGGGAAACTTAAATATAATAAAAATTCAATCAGCTAGAATGGTATGATTTTTATAATGTAAATGCTAATATTTCTAAATACCTGACAAAAAGAAGACAAATAGGATTTCCTGGCAGTCCAGTGGTTAGGAGCCAGCGCTTTCACTGCAGTGATCCAGGTTCAGTTGCTGGGTGAACCCCCAGCTTAAGATCCCCACAAGCCACATGACACAGACAAGAAAACAAGAAGTCAAATAAAATCATAATTAGAGGGAGATACAGTTCTACTAAATTTTTTAAAATTTCAAACACAATGTATTTAGTAAAGAATCATATATTAAAGTCAGCGATATTGAATATGTATTCGAGAGTAAATAACATAAAGCATTGTGTGTAAATAACATAAAGTAGTGAGAGTAAGAGAGACAGGACTGAAGAGACTGAGACATAAGTAGGAAATTAGTGTATAATATGCAAAATATAAGGGATTTAATAGTTGAGTGAAAATGAATTTTTAAAATATGAGCGCTATTGGAAAAAGAGAACTAAAACTCTACTTCGTGTCATTAAAATAAATACATATATTTATGTGCCTGTACATAAACACAAAAATTAAAACCTAGTAGATTTAATATATAAAAGTGCAGGCTTTTAAAACACGGATAATGGCACAGACCTATTAACAATTAAAAAAATGGGAATGATTCAATGTTTTAAGCAGATTTTACAGTTTGCAAAGTTGTTCAAGTCATAGATGGTGCTTTAGAGAAAAAAAGAATAAAACTGTAGGAGAAAACAAACTGTCAACATCTGGTAATTACCGAAATATTTTAAATGTTATGGAATCTAACAAACATTTGCAAAATGGAAAAGGATGGAGTAACTGTGTGAATCCATGACAACCATCGACAGAACCAATTCACAGAGAAACTTATTTTATGTTATCCTACCCTGTCACCCTTGCAAACCTTCTCCTGTTAAAGCTAATCCCAGAAGTTGTATCCTTGCACCCCTAAATACTTCAGTGACTATCTCTGGGAGATAAAGACACTTTAAAAACATATGTATATTTTTGGTTCCACTGGATCTTTGTTACTGCGGAAGCTTTCTCTAGTTGTGACCAGTTGGGGCTATCCTTCGTTGCGGTGAGCAGGAAATGAGAGAAGCCACCGGAATGTGAAGCCCCACCCCAACTCCCGCACTGCAGCTAGAGAAACCACCCGTGCAGCAACGGAAGTCCCACCACAGCCAAAAGTAAATAAATAAATCGGTTCAGTTCCGTCGCTCAGCTGTGTCCGACTCTTTGCGACCCCATGGACTGCAGCACACCAGGCTTCCTTGTCCATCACCAACTCCGGGAGCTTGCTCAAACTCATGTCCATTGAGTCGGTGATGCCATCCAACCATCTCATCCTCTGTCGTCCCCTTCTCCTCCTGCCCTCAATCTTTTCCAGCATCAGGGTCTTTTCACATGAGTCAGCTCTTCACATCAGGTGGCCAAAGTATTGGAGTTTCAGCTTCAGCATCAGTCCTTGCAATGAACATGCAGGACTGATCTTTTTTAGGATGGACTGGTTGGATCTCCTTGCAGTCCAAGGGACTCTCAAGAGTCTTCTCCAACACCTCAGTTCAAAAGCATCCATTCTTTGGCGCTCAGGTTTCTTTATAGTCCAACATCCATACATGAACTACTGGAAAAACCATAGCTTTGACTAGACGGGCCTTTGTCGTCAAAGAGGTGTCTCTGCTTTTTAATATGCTGTCTAGGTTGGTCATAACTTTCCTTCCAAGGAGCA